GTTGTTCCCTGACAGTATTTGCGCATTTCTTAGCCAATACTGTAATTCAAAGGCATTTGTTGTCCTGGTCTTCCTGATTTGCCATTAATCTGTCCGTTAGTTGTCCTGGTGTGGCTTGTGTGTTGCTCGGATGCTAGCAGCTAGGGTACCAGTATCTAAAGGGCAGCAGAGTCACCTATGGTGAGCAAGCTGCCCAGCTTCCAGACTAGCAACAGACACGGAGGAAGGGACAGGCTTGTCTACTTCTAAGGGATTAGCAGCTAAAAGCATTCAAATATCAAGATAGTCAATAAATAGCAGTAAGTGTATCAAATGTCACCTGAGCAAGTAAAAATGCAGTTTGTTCAATGGAACAAAAGACAAAACCCAATTATAGACAGCTTATTAAAAACATACTTTAAATACAAGAGCATAGGAATACTGAAAGGAAAAGAATAGGAAAATTTACACAAGAGAAATTTTCTATAGCTACACTAATGTCAAACAAAGTAGATCTCAAGTCAAGGGGCATGACTAATATGAGATACGCTCGATTTAGAAAGGCGAATCTATCAGGAAACAAAGCAGCTATAATTTCGTATGTATCTAATAAATGTATCTAATCGTTTCAAAATATAAAAAGCCAAACCAATAAAACTCTATGGAAAAATAAATGCACAATCACAACTGGTGAATTTAACACATTTCTTCCAGAAGTTACTAGACAAGTAATAGCCTGGTGATAACTAATAGACAAAATACACAGCTCTTTTACATCACCACCTAATTGGCATACATTTGTTTAAGGAAAAAAAACAGGCTAGAAAGAAAGTCCTGGTGATTATTTTTAAAATTCAGCCAATGAAAACCATCACAGCAGTCCAATCGCGAGTCCATCCCGAGGATGGCACAGACAAGGTTGTTAGATTGCCTGGGTTGTCAGGAGCAAGAAGCAGCTGACTCAAAAGCAACTAGCAACAATTGGCACAGCAGAACACTGTTGCAACAAAGAATACACATATGGTTCAGGGCGCACATGTGGAACATTCATTAAAATTGGCTTCATAGTCAGCCACGCAAAAGTTCTCAAAAAATTCAAGAGATGGAAATCATAGAAACGATGTCCCAGAGTGCAGTAGAATTAAACTATCATTTAAAAATAAAATAGATTACTAGAAAATCCCTGAATGCTTACTCAGGACTCAGTCAGTGCCTGCTGGTTACTCTTACTGACATCGAGAACAGTAATGATCAGGCAGAGAGGATGCCTTCAGACGCCAAAAGTCCGCCTAGAATGGGGAGATGAAGTGCATATTTAAGTAACCAACGTGCAAGGTAGAATGTGAGATAGATACTTTAAGAAGGATTCATGCGATGCTATGGGTGCACAGAAGTAGAATCATTCATGGGTCCTCTGAACTACGAGGACTGGCGCATCAGAAAAGGCCTCCTGGAAGTAGCTGCTTTTTCAGTGTGAAGAACTTGCAAAAAGTGGTGAACGAGGCCTCATCTTAAGCAGAAAGAGCAGTCAGTGTGCAGAACTTAAATCTAAGACAATGTATAGTCAAATTTGACTGAGGCACAGGGTGGGTTACCAAGAGTACTGCAATGTTAAGTGCACAAAGGCAACGGGACAATAGTTATCGGCTTTGCATGCCAGGTGGGGTGGGTCCTCAGGATGGTGGGGGAGCTGGGAGAGAGCTTTGGGTCAATAAGGGAAGAGCTCTGCTGGGGGAAGAACAGCCCAGCAGGCATGTGGGCCAGAAGAAACAGCCCAGGCAGAGAAACAGGCCAGAAGACAAGCGTCTGCACCCCGACAGTGGCGAGGAAAGAGGGGAGTGAGAAGCAGAAGTAGAAAAAATCAGGCCTCCCCACGCAACAGAGCCACCCACACCCCTCACTTAACAGCAGCCTAGCAATGCATTAAATTCACTGCCTAATTGCTCCTTTCAAGGTTAATGCTCCAAAATGGGGAAAATGTCTGTTTAATGTTTAGTCTCCTCTCTGCCACCCAAGCCCCAATTTGAAAGCACAATCTTAAAAAAAAAAAAAAATAGATAGAAATAAACCCCCAGTCACACCCCAGACCCTCAAAACCCATAGCTTCCTTTCTCAAAAAATATCTGTCTTTGAATATTCCCATGTTGCTGACAGTTCTGTCAGGTGACCTGATCCCTCTCTTGCGAGAATTCCTGAATAGCTCCCAGGAACCTCCATCCTCCTCACCAGCCCCACTCCTGTATCTCCCAGGCCAAGACCCAGAGCTTCTCTGACTAGGATGGGAAAGAAGTCTGATGCCTTGAATTGCATTCCTGACCCATCACGCTGGCCTGAAATGGAGACCAAAGATCCCAAGCCCTCGGGGACATTGTCCCACACTCAGTCTAGAGAGCAGCGTCTCCCCTCCCTCGCTCTGTGATCACTGCCCACGGTGAATGTGATACACTCAGGGCAGATTATCCAGGAAGCTAACTAAGCACAGGCTCACTTGTGCTTGCTTACTCATCTGTAGTCACAACAGTGGCACCTGTTTTTTGTGTGGTGAATAACCAGTGAAATGGTTCACTAAATATTAGTAAATTAACATGTCAGCCCCTACTGACCTTGCTACCTGGGTACTCCATCCCTGTCAGAGACAATACATTTGAAAAGAAGTTTTGACTCTGTAGGAAAGTTCTGTGGGGTTGGAGTTAAGACACATGCCAGTCGTACCAGAAGCTGAATCTTTGATATATCGGGAAGAGGGGTGGGAGGAGTTAAATTGTTCTCAACAGATTAATGTAAGCACAAGTAAGCTTGTGCTCGCCTTGCTTACTAGGTAACCTGACACTAATACACTGCCTGCACTGGCTTCCCCTCCTATAAGAGCAAGTTACTCAACAAGACCACATGCTTCAGGTGGTCTTCCAGAAAGTAGGAAATAACTTCAGCTTCACTGATTCAGAAGCAAGGCACAGGTAAGAGTGTCCACCTAGGAAACGACTTGAAGATCTTTCAGGCCTGGACAGCTCCTTCCAGCGCCCACTGCCTCCTCCCCAGTGAACTCACTTCTCCAACTTCTAATGCAAATCCCAACTGATTTTTCCTTGTCTCCCTAGTGACAAAAACTTCAATGCCTTCATTAAAGTCTTGCTCTAAAGACCAGAAGAAGCTTCTCTCCACACACTAGCTTCTGTTTGTGTCTCCCACTTGTGCAAAACCAGTTCTAACAGTTCCCTCCTAGTTTGCTCTAACCATGCCGTCTCCAGCATTCAAGTTAAGAAATACCTGTGCATCTCTAATTCCTTGTGTGTAACACAAGGATGGGGATATTATGTGCATGGAGGTTTTCTATGAGAATTAAATGGGCAACATTAGTAAATCAGCCTGTGGTAAGTGTTCTGTCTCAATCTCAGGTGGCAGCCCTGAATCTAAGCGTATTTATTTCATGCCTACTGGAAATGGTCCCTTGGGCTACTCTATGGGCACAGCAGCATCAGCGTGGCAGTGAGGTGGAGTATGCAGAGCTAGAAAATCCAAGGTGGAGAATCACTTGCCTTCCCAGCTGTGTTAATTCATCCTTTCAACTACCATGAAAAGAAGATCCAAAGAGAGAATCGGGTATCTTGGGTGACAAGTTTACAAAACAACAAAGTGACAGAATCCACATTTAAGCCCTGGTGGTCTGGCTCCAGGGTTCCCTGTTCTTTCTGCTATCTACTGAAGTCCATGTGCTAGATATGAGTCGGGTTCCGAGAGGTGACCAGGACACTGAGTCACCTCCCCCAAAGGGCTGAGGATTCAAGCAGGTCACCTGATCAGACAGTGACTGCCAGCATCACTTTGGAGAGAGGGAACTGCTCCCCCTTGTCTCTTTCTCCTAAACTCTCTCCCATTTCCCTTGCAGTAAGCACTGGGAAGAAGGGACAGTGCATGATAAGCATTTTCAGGGAAGCCTAACCTGCTCAAAGTGAAGCCAACTGGGTTCAGATGCCCACCCCACCCCCAGAGGGGGCAGCGTTAGTGACCCCTGGCTAGGCTGAACACACATGAAAAGCAAGAGTCAACATAGAGAGGGAAATCAGGGGCCTGGAGAGAGGTTCGCTGGAGGTGATGAATGATGAACATAGTCCACCTGTGTTAGTCCAGGTAGACTAGAGAAACAATTCATAAACATGCATATGTATATAAGGTAGAGGTCTATAAACAAGAGGAAAATTGAACGTTGAGAAAACATCCCAACCCAATCCAGTCCAGTCCAAGGCCATAAGTCTGATATTAGCCCAAATGTCCGATACCAATCTATAAAGTCCTCTTCAGACTCACAAAACACATTTAATGAAGCCAAAGGCAGTAGAAAGTCTTTGGGTCCAGTGCCGTTGTAAGCATCACAGCGCTGGCAGGGGTCTCTCTCTGTGGCTTCTCCTGCTTCCAAGGTCTGGTTGCGTCCATGTGGCTTGTCTTCTGCAATGTCTCCCAGGAGTGGCAGAGAGAAGTGTCTTCCACCTCCAAGGAGGAAGTACCAGATTTCCCAGAATTCTCAGGAGAAGGCCATGCCCACACAGAAGTCTCATTGGCTATGATCTGATTGACAGCCTAGACTCCACCCCTACACTCTTAATCCTCAAATTGACACCAGATTTGGTGACTACCACACCACCTTTCCTTCTTGCTGAGGTTTTCAACCTCCCAGTCCCTGATATGTGGTAGCCTCTTCTTCCTTGGGGATCCTGAAGAAGCAAAACCCACTTTGATAGTTCACCTGAATGCAGGTAAGCCTGTGGGCAAGCAGCAGTCTAGATGTGGGTCTTAAACATTCATGTGCAAGCCAATCACCTGGGGATCTGGTGAAGATGCAGATTCTGGCCAGGAGGTATAGGGTGGGACCTGAGCTTCTGCCTTTCTAACAAGGTCTATGTGAGCCCACAACTTTTGGGCCACTTTAAGCGTATCGAGGGCCAGCATCCCCAGGTCCTCTTTGGTACTAGGATCCTGAGAGTTCTAGTGTTTCAGCACTCTGCCTGCTGTGTTTTTCCCCATAGATGACCAAAACGCCACGTGCTTCGAACCCGCAGAGCTGGCCGGGTGGCCCATCACTCGGGTGGGAAACCCACTGCGATACATGTGCATCACGCACCTGAACAACCAGGACTACATCTTCGTGCTGCTCATCGGCTTCTGCATCTTCGCCGCAGGCACCGTGGCCGCCTGGATCACCGGCATGTGCGCTGTGCTCTATGAAAACGCCCGCCGCAAGTCAGACGAGGACGAAGCAGATGATGAGATTGGGCAACGGCTGGAAGTCAGCAGGCGGATTTTTCTCATTAAGGATGAGCCGGACCACGACGGGTTCCCTCGGCTGATTTAGCTGTCAGGGACCACTCTCTGCTGTGCCTTCCCATACACTCCCCATGTTTTCCTTGCCGCCGCCCCTCCCCAGCCCCTCAGGCTGTTTCACAGGTTACAACCTATCAGTAAAATAAATGAACTATTCCGGTGGCGATTGCATAGGGTGGTCCTTTCCTGATCCACCGACCCCCAGGCACTTCCTTGAACTGTGGAGGATAGGGTAAGAAAGATGCTGTTGGGGGGTGGGGAGGTGGGAGACGTTAGGGGGGGGGGGGAGGAGATGCAAAAACATTGCCAGTCCTGGCCATTCTGACTTCAGCTGTCCACATGCTTTTGGAGGAACTACTCCTCAGGGTTTTCTTGGCTGTAATCTTCACAGAAGACAGGAAGAAAGGCCTGGCAATCTATTTCCAAAAATCAGCCCAAGAAATACTACGAAGCACCGCAGTCCAAGTGGCACAAACCTGAGCCGTATTTTGTTCTGTCGTGCCTAGGCTCTCTGTGAGTCCACCTGATTTGGTAACTCAAAGGCGGTGAGCAACACCCACCACCGGGTGAGTTCGAACTGCCAGCCTTTAGGTTAATAATTGAGTATGAACTGCGTTGCACCACCTAAAGAAGCTGTAGCTGCATCTAAATGTCCAGGATACACTCCCCGCCACCCCAACCCCTGACCCGCCCAAAGTAGGTCAACTCTGTGTGCACTGGAGGCCAGAACAGAGGAGAGATTAAGATGTAAGCTCTGTCCTCAAAGAGCAAACACTTTTAGAGGAAGTCAAGCTGAATACCAAGCAAACATTCCTTGACTGTGTCCATGAACCTTTACATCCTCTTACTGACCTCACACTGATTCCCACTCACTCATAGTGAACCGGTAGGACAGAGTGGAACCGTCCCTGTGGGCTTCTGAGACTGTAACTCTTCACAGGAGGAGAAAGCCCCTTCTTTCTTCCAAGGAGTAGCTGGTAGTTTCAAACTACTGACCTTGCGGTTAACAGGTCTCTCATAATTACAACAACCACACTGTTATTTTACAACGGAAAAACAGGATGTGAGGTATGCATTACCCACCCAGCTGGTAAGTAGCACCATTTCCCAAAGCTGCTTTCCTTTTTAGCTGCCTCGCGACTTCACTAGGACCCAAGCCACGGTGTCTCACTTGCCTCATAAGCATGTGAAGGTTGGACATGATCAGGAAGATCGGAGAAGAATCGGTGCATTTGCATTTGAGATGGCTCCGCACCAACTTGATGGCACCTAATAACAACAACGAACAACCAGCAACCTATCCAAGAACTCATCGTGTCAGTCTCAGCCAAAACAAGGAGCAAGGCCCAGAGGTGGCCACCACTTTCCAAGCACACCCAGCTTTATACCTATTTTCTCAGCAGTGTAACACTCACAGCAACCCAGCCGGGTGGTCATCATGACCCTCCTTTTCCAGAAGCTGCAAACCCGAACCAAATCAAACCCATGGCCCTCGAGTCAGTGCCGGCACACGGCAGCCCTGGAGACTGAAGAGTAGAGCTGCTCCAATGGGCTTCCAGGCTGTAAAGCCAGTGACCTTTGGGTTAGCAGCTGAGCACTTGAACCACTGTGCCACCAGAGCTCCTCTCCTTAGTTGTAACTTATGAGTCCAAGATTAGATACTGGCAGACGTAGAACAACTGCTGAATTCAGAGTGTCTCGACCCACGCTCTGTGCATCATGAATCACAGTTGGTCATCAAATGCTAAATAGAAGAGCCCGGTATACACCAGCTCCCAGCGCTGAGACAGGCAAAGGGGATAGAAGAGAGGGCCAGCTGAACCCAGGTTCAAAGATCCACTCCAGGTTTTCTCTGTGCGCATAACAAATTATGCTCATCCTTCTAGATTCGCATCAAAGTTCTCACTCATGAACCTAACTCTCCCTAGATGCCTAACCAGACATGATCTTACTGCTGCGATTTCCCTGCAAATTTCATGTACTTCTAACCAGCCCTGTGCCCCAGTTTTTCCTTAGCAACAATTAAGAGCAAGGGCTCCTGAGTCAGAAGCCGGGATCCTGCCCCTGACTCTGCTCTGAGCCTTCCTCAAACCTGAGTGACCTACTTACAATCACTTGCAGGGGTGAGATCACCTGTTGTTAGCTCTGATTCATCACCTGGAGTGGGGCCTCACAAAAGCAGAAGCTCAATAAACATGTATTTTTGCATTCTGTTTAGATTCCAAACCCCACCAGTCGTTCTTAAACTGTTCTGCTGAATGTAGCTAATGATTAGGGACAAACTATCTCATTTCTCCCCGTCCCAGTTTCTTCATCTGCAAATGGCCATACCTGCACTGCTGACAACATATAGTGATATTAAGGATAAAATCAGTACCAATTTACATAATAGCAATGTGCAAGGGCTTCAAAGGTTCATGGAAAAATTGTACTCTCTTTCCATTCTATCTTTCCACAAACTTTTTGATGTCTTCTAATTTGTTTGTTTTTCACTTTTTATTTTGGCGTAATTCAGATTTACATAAAAGTTGCAAAGATAGCACAACAAGTTCCTGTATATCTCTCAACCAGTTTCCTTCAATGTTTTCTTTGAAAGAAAAATCGCATATGTACATTTGTCCAAACTAGAAAATGGGCATTGTTGTTGCTGCTAGGTTCCTTTGAAACTGCTCCAACTCCTAGTGGATCTGCGTACCACAAAACGAAACCCTAACCAGTCCAGCGCATCTTCACCATCTCAGCTATGTTTGAGCCCATTGTTGCAGCCACTGTGTCAACCCATCTTGAGGGTCTACCTCTTATTCGTCTTCTACTTTACCAAGCATGATGTCTTTCTCCAGCACTTGTCTCCCCGGATAACGTGTCCAAAGTACATGAGACAAAGGAGCAGCCAGGCTATACTTCCTGCAAGACAGACCTGTTTGTTCTTTTGGCAGCGCATGGTACAGTCAATATTTTGGCCAGCACCATGACTCAAATGTATCAGTTCGTCTTCATTCTTCCTTACTCATATGTCCATTTCCCAGCCATATGGGGTGAGTGAAAATACCAGGGCTTGGCTCAGGCTCACCTTCTACCTTGAAGTGATATGTTAGTCTTTAACACTTTAAATAAGAAGCTGACATTGGGACACTACTATTAACTAAATTCCAGACTATGGTTGGATTGCATCAGGTTTTTCTTTTCTTAATGTCCTTTTTCTGTTCTAAAATCCACTCCAGAATACTACAGTGTAGTTAGTGTAGCTTAAAAAATCACAATACGGCTAGTATTTATTGGCCATTATTCTAAGAGCATATGTATGTGTATGTAAGTTCATTCAATCATTACAATAATATGAGGTGGATATTACTATTATCATTATTATTACTATTATAACCATCCCCATTGAATAAAGAAATTGAGGCTTTAAGAGTATCTTTGTTTACTGGGGAAGCAATAACAAAATACCACAAAGAGAGTGGCTTATAAGAACAGAAACATACTCCCTCACAATTCTAGAGGCCAAAAGCAGGCCATCTATGGGGCCATGTTCTGAGAGACTAGAGGAAGATTATTCTCTGTCTCTTCGGGTTTCTGGTAACCACCTGTGTTTCGTGGCATTTCTTGGCTGTAGGTGCTCCCTTTTATGTTTGTCTCTCTGTGTATGTCTGCTTTACTCTTCTCGTTGATAAGACACCACGTATGTGGGATTATGACTGTGTTTGGCCAGGTGGACTAGAGAAACAAAGCCAGAGACATTCATGTATAAGAAAGAGCTTCATATCAAAAAGTCATAATATATCAAGAAAATATCCCAGCCCAGTCCAATTTAAGTCTGATACGAGTTATAAGTACATAAGTCCCCCTTCAGACTCACAAAGCCACATGAAATGGTGCAGAACACAGGAACATCACTGGCCAGTGGGCGAAAAGGCATGTAGATCCAGTGGGGATCCAATGATGATGGAAGCCTCACAGGGTTCTGACAGGACTCCATGTGGCTCCTCCACAGGAAGGTGAAGGCAGATAAGGAAAGGAAGTTCCCAGGATTCTCTTTATGAGAAGGCTGTGCCCACAAGGAGGCACCATCGGGTATGACCTGGTTGACAGGCTAGACTCCACCCATAGCTTCTTACAGGTGCCATGTTGGCACAAAAAAACAACTCACAAGGACCCACCCTAGTTAGGTATGAGCTCATGTGAATCTAACTCATAACATTTCAAATAAAGACCCTATTCCCCAACAAGGTCACATTAAAAGCTATGAGACTAGAACTTCAACATATATTTGGGGGGATGAGGGTGGGCATAATTCAGTCCATAAACTACCAAGAAAGTTCCGTCAAGCTAAATCTGAATTTTTACATTCCAGAATAGTCTCTCTCCTAAGATTGTACATGGATCCTCCCATCCATAATAACTCATTCTGTCCACAAAATGGTACTGAGCACCTATTCTCACTGGTCTGGTGAAAACTGCAGTGAATGAGGCAGAGTCTCCATGTTTGAGAAGCTCACAGCCCAGTTTAGTAGACATGCATGAGTGAACATGCAATTTCAGGCCAGCGTGGTACATGAAACACAGAGTCTGGGCATACACAAAGGAAGGAAGTCTGGCAACTTCCCAAATACAGTGACATATAGCCCAACAGAGGAGCAAAAGGGAGTGGGTAACAAGGGAATATTCTCTTTTTTTGTAAATCATTTTATCGGGGGCTCATACAACTCATCACAATCCATACATCCATCCATTATGTCAAGCACATTTGTACACTTGTTGCCCTCATCATTATCAAAACATTTGCTTTCTACTTGAGCCCTTGGTATTACCCCCTCCTTTTTCCCCTGCCCAACCCACCATCCCATCACTCATGAACCCTTGATAATTTATTAATTATTATTATTTTGTCATGTCTTACACTATCTGATGTCTCCCTTCACCCACTTTTCTGTTGTCCATCCCCCAATGAGGAGGTTATATGTAGATCCCTGAAACCGGTTCCCCCTTTCTACCCCTTCTTCCCTCCATCATCCCAGTATTGCCACTCTCACCATTGGTCCTGAAGGGATCATCTGTCCTGGATTCCCTGTGTTTCCAGTTCCAATCTGTACCAGTGTACATCCTCTGGTCTAGCCAGATTTGT